ACCCCCCACCCTCCAACAAACGCCCGTCCCCGCCACAAAACATACACAAGTTTGAGCGCACAGGGCCCACACCATCACAACGCACCCCGGACCCTCGGCCTGTTCCCCCACCTCACCCACCCCAGGCGCTCCTCCTTCTCCTCCTACCCGGGCATGCTGTCGTCCCTGGACGATTTTTACGTGATGCCGGACAGCGACCAGCGCCTCGTCATGCTGCAGACCACAAACGTGCGCGCGCACTCATGGACACGGCTGCGTCTGGGGGCTGCACTGCCAACAGTCCTGACGCCCGCCAGGCGTGGGCCTGCCGGCGATCTGTGCCTGTTGGACGCGCGCTGCCGCCTGCAGCTGCATGCTCAAAAGGTCTTCAGAGGGCGATCCTCCCACACGCTCCTGGTGCCGTCCCCCATAGAGGCCCCCACGCACCCCGAGGGCCCCCTATGACTGTCACCATCTCAACACAACCCATATGGTGGGTTCTCTCCATTCCCAGAACTTTCATCAAAAGTGGTGACCCCCCAAACCCACCCAAACACTGCCATCGCTCAGGGTGTCATGGACAAGACCCTGTGGTCGCTGGTGACCGAGCACTCCCTGCTGGCTTGGCAGAGGGTGCGCCTGGCCAACGCACTCGCGCGCTCAGGTGGGCATCTCCAGCCGCTGCCAGGCAAGGCCCTGGTGGTGGGCGCCAGAGACACCAAACACTCTGAACATGCCTTCAGCTGATAAGCCAAATAACTGCGCGAGAGCTGCCGCAGCACACCCAATGCGCAAGCCACTCAGGTGCTTATACTCCGCCGTCTGATTGGCAACACTGCTCCCCCACATTGCCCTCCGCATCTACGCAGGCGAGGAGTGGGTGGACTTCGTGGGGCGTCACAACAGCGGGACATACAACAACCAGTACATGCTGCTGGATCTGAAACGGTTCAGGCCTGGCAAGGCAATCGAACCAGGTGACCCACGCACGTGCCCCGGCCGGCTGCTCGCTTGACCTCGACAGCTATTTGCTGCTGGCTGCAGGTTTATTGCAAACTGCCCGCTGCAGGCTGCACAGCTCGTACCTGTGAGCCTTCCAGGCTTGCAGGCGGATTTGTGGCAGCAGCGCATGGATTCCGTAGCTTGGAATTCTGGCGCAGGCCGCTGCGCTGACAACTGCTACCTTTTCTGGACAATACCCCCTGACCCCTCCTCCTGCATCCACCGCACCCGTTCTGCAAAGGCCTGCTGTGGGTCGTTGAGCAGATCCCCGGCTACCAGCACTCAGAGGACGTCACACGGCTGCTGGAGCTGGGCTACTTTGCGTCCTTCAACGTGCCGTTTTTCAGGTGAGGGCGAGTCACAGACACTCACGTTTGTGCATGATCATACACACACCACACACACACACACACTCACAACCATGCACTTGCACTTTGTACGTATGCACTGTTAAGTGCAACCCTTCAGAGAGGCCCTTCAGAGAAGATGTGAACAGGGCAGCAGAGCGTGCGTGTGTCCCCCTGCGACGGCTCCACCGCCCCTTGTCAACTTTGTATCCCTGGCCGACCATGCGCCCCAGGGAGGTGTACGACAAGGCCGGGTTTGGGAAGTTCACGACGGCGATGGCGGCTCGGGGGCTGGAATTTGAGGAGGCAGTGGAGGGTGAGCGGGGCTCAGGAGGCTCGGGAGGGCAACGGGCAACCCCTGGGCTGATGGACAGGGCATTTTGGGTCCTGCTGTGGCGCCGCAGGGTCGTGCAGCCGCAGCGGGCTGCCCACCAGTGCAGTGTCGACAGCAGCGCTTGGCGGCCCTCGCCCACTGCGGCTGCTCTTGGCGGCCGCTTCGCTGCGCGCAGGCGCGAGCTACCAGCTGGCGGCGAGGTCCCAGATATTCCGCCGCGACGCCGGCTCGGTGCAGAGCCTGGACGGCCTCAAGGCCATCCTCAGGTGGGCTCGAGCGCCGACGAGTCGGCTGCAGTTTGCTGCACCCTGCATGCCCCTAACTCAGGCGCCACATGCGTACATGCCGCCACTTGGGCTGCGTCAGGCTGCAGCACCCTGTTCATCCCCTTACTGCACACACACGCAGGTCCAACGGCTTCAAGGCAGGAGACCCTTATGCAAGGGGCCACCCAGGGAACGCCGTCTGGTGCGCGTGCTACTGGGTCGCCGTGAACTGCGCAAATCTGGCACGCACTGCCCCCTTCACAATATGGCATACTCTGCGCACAATCCGCTGGAAAGGGCGCCCACGCCCCGAGCCGTCGCCAATCCCCCCCCCCCACACACACCCTCAACTAACCCCCGACGACAGTGCTCGTAACGATCTGGATCCTATCAAGCCCCGTGCCACAGGCTGCACCGATGGCAAGGTAACGGCAGGGCGGAGGCCGAAGCTGCGGGCCAGGCCCGGCCTCCCAGCTTATCTTGAGGCGATTTTTCACTGTCTGGCACGCGCACCCACTTGCTTACCGCTTGCATTGTGTTCTGCAGCAGGTGCATTGTACGCCAGGCTGTGCGATTGTCCTTGTCCGAAGTGCGTCTTGAGCACCCCTTTTCACCACATTGTTGATATCATCTCATCACTTCGCAACCACGACACAACCACCCAATCGGCGCTGTTCCTGCCAGGTGACTAGCTACCACGCAGCGCTGGAGGGCCGCTCCTGGGCTATCAACGGGCCTACCTCAGAGCAGGGCCTGCCACCGTTCTCGTGGGGCCGAGGCCTGCCGTTCTCCGGCGAGCCACACCGCGGGCAGCCGGTCAAGTTTGACTTTGACTGGCAGGAGATGCGGCCGTGAGTTGTATGAGCCCCTCTTGGATCGACGCTGCCGTGTTTTGACTCTCTTTTGTATGAGGGTGGCGACGGTTTGTACACAGACGCATGTGCGGAAGCCCTTCAGGCGGTTGATCGCTCCTTGTGCTGCAGGGCTGTACTAAGTGGCAAGAGACATTGCCGTCCATGTTCACGCAATCCCTCCGACGTGCTGTATATTGTATCAGTTGGCCATTATAGAAACTTGCAGAGTAAGCTAGCAATGTATGCTGAGGCAGCAGGGTGAGGGTGGGTATTCGCGCGGCTGGCTGCGCAGCACGAGCAGCGCCGTCGTGAACTCCTCACCACGACCAGCAGCTACCATCTGTTATCGTCCCTTCGTACAAGCTCTTACTTGTATGCCATGTATCGCTCGAACTGACTCTTGAGACCTGGCTACCCAACGCACCTCCGCCCTCGACAGCGTCGCAGCTGCTGACTGGCGTGTTGCAGCGCCCCTGACCGCTCAGCAGGAAATGCGATCCCCCCCCCCCCTGCTCCGCCCCCAGCCCCTGCCCAGCCGTGCCGGCGCCGCTAGCAGCACCACCGCACGTCTCTCGCCACGCATGGCCGCCAGCCTGGCGGCCCTGAGGGCCAATCCGCACGGCCCGCCCCGCTGCTGCCCGCATGACGAGTGGACCCCACCCGCCCGCCTGGCCTCGTCCCGCCTCATGCCGAGCGGGGTGCTGGAATTCGGCTTCTACCACCACACCCTAGACGAATCAGACGACAACGACCATCAGTCACTACGGGCGGCGTCCGCCTGGTAGCCGCCCACCGCTGCCACCGTCCCGCGGGCGTGGGGCGCTGCGGCGGCGGCGGCGGCCGGGGGGCTCGCTGGCGGCGCTGGGCATGACAGGCGTCGCCCCAGAGGGCGTCACGGGCTGGCTGTGGGCGGTGGCTCGGGTGCGCGGGAGTGCGACAGCCTCCATGGGGCTGCGGGGCTGCGGAAAAGTCTCAGCGGGGGCCGGTGTGAAGCAGCGGGGCGTGCACGGGGGCGCATGGTGGCAGCGGCCGATGCCTCTGGAATTGGTTTCAGTTCTGTTGTATGAACACAAAATGCACAGCGCACAGCTAGCACACGCTCCAGTTTGACCACGCGCAAATGCATCATCGCTGGGCTTCCCTGGTCAACCCTTCAGGCTCACCCTCTTCCTGGCCCCCCGCCTCCACAGACACAGCACCCTGAACCCCCTCGTTTACCCTCCCCCCCCCCACGCACCCTCCCATCGCAGGAGCTCCCCTGCCTCCCGCCCGGCAGGGCCGAAGCCGCGCGCGCCGGCGCCGCCGCGTCTCCCGCCTTCCGCGCGGCGCTGCTCTCCGCCGCCGCGCGTGCGCGGGGCCGCGCAGGGCCGCTGCTGTGCCTGGTGCTTGGGGCGCGCCGCGCCCTCCATCCCTGTTGCGCGCGCGACGGCCACGGGTAGCCAGCGGCGCGCCAGGAAGTTCTTGGCGGGAAGTTTGTTGACGAGCTGATGCAACGCGCGTTGGCACCGAAAGCGGCGGCGGACCGGAGGTGACGTCGAGCAAGGTGGCCGCGCTGCTGCTCTCCGCGGCGGAGCTGGCCGGGAGCTCGCAGCCCAGCCATTGCGGCTGGCGAGGGAACCGAGGGCCGCCGCAGCGGCGCAGCGCCGACGCACGCGCGCACGCATGCGCGCCGCCGGCCGTGTGGGCGCGGACGATGCTCGCGGGGCTCGCGACGTGCGCTGAGCTGGCGGCGCCGGCCGAGCACGAGGCCCGATCTAAAGAGCCCCAGGTTTCAGCATCGGCGCCGGCACGGCCGCGGCCGCTGGGCCCACGGGAGGCTTCAGGGATCCTTGCGGCAGTGAGGGCGTGGCTGCTGCCTTTCAGATCTGGCAGCTGCGATCTGCTCTCGACCTCAACCTCGGACGCGCCGCCCAGCGAGAACCGGAGCAAGCAATGGCGGCGCATCGGCGCGCTTGGTGTTGCGTGACGAGTGAGAGCGTCGCGCACCCGCGCGCCTGTGGGGCCGCGAGGCCGGGACAGCGGCCGCGGCGGCTGCAGCTAGGAGAGCGCTGGGCGGTGCGGGTGGATGGCTGCGGTCGGCCGTCGCGCGGCGTGGGCCTTGCGAGGTGCCGGGGTCTTGCGACTCGAGCGGGTGGCCTCAGGGGCCCTGACACACCATCTCCACGCGGCGGCGGCGCGGCGCGTCAACGCTTCACGCATCATGGTATGTCGCATCTTCCCTCTGGTTTTGTTTCCCAGGGTGGGACGTAGCTGCCCCCGCCCCTTCCCCTCAACCCCCGCTCCCCCATCCCTTGCCACCCTTTCTGCCATCACCGGGTGAAAGTTGTCCTGAAGTAATCATATGATGTTGGGCTTTGATGGTCTCCTGCTTCGCGCCCTTGTTTGCAAATCTACCCGCGCTTGCGCGCATGCGCGCCTTTGCGCGCAGCGCGGATCAGCACACATTGGGGGCCTTCGTGCACGCCTGCTTTGAACGGCGCACGGTAGCCACCTGAACCTCAGTCACATAACGTTGGTCGGTGCTTCACTGTACAATCCCATGAGCCTGGATGGCCCCAGGAGCGGGCGACCGCGGGACGCTGTAACAATTCTAATCCTAATCCTAATCCTCCTGCGCGGCCCGTGCAGCAGCCTGCATGCCTCAGCATCAGCAGCTTGCGTGGGCCGCAGCAACTCCAGCCTGCCTGACCAGCAGCAGCAGCGGCAGCAGCAACACCAGCAGCAGCAGCCTCAAAAGCAGCAGGAGCCGCAAACCGAGCAGCGGCGGATGCGGCAGCAGCAGGAGGTATGTCTCTTGTTGTGGGATGTGGTGGCTGGTGTGATGCAGGCGGTGTTGTCACAGGGCCACTTTGGACTGCCGACCCGCACAATCTGTTATGTATGCGCCACAATCAGGTCTAGAATTGTCGCAACCCCCGTGCCCTGGATCGTACAGCTGGCCGTGTCGGCCCGAGTCCCTCCCCGCCACGACGCCACGCATCATGTTGCGGCAACAGTCAAGCAGGCAAAACCATGTGCATGCAGTTTGCCGGAAATTCCTATGCTGTTATTTTGTGGTTGCATTCTGCTGAGCTGGCATAGGACAAGTGATTGATGATGTTGATTACCGCGTCTGCGTTTGCCAGACTCATGAGAAAAGGGCAGCTGCAGCGACCCCACGGCCCACCGCCCCTGCTCGCTCCAAAGGTTGGCAAGGCAAGCATGCAAGCATGCGTGCCACGCACGCAGCACAGCAAGCTCCACATGCACGCAGACGCGAGAAATGCGCCTCTGCTGTGGGCCGGTGAAGCATTGAGACATGGGCATGCAAGACATGGGCCCGAGAGCAAGACCGATGTGCAAAGCGATGTGCAACGCACAAGGGTCTGCTCCCCTCTGAGTTCGTGGAGCAGAAGGGCAAGAGCCCCATCCACGACTGGCCAGTGGCCCCACCGCAAGGGCCGCCAAACTGGTAAAACACAACTGGCCTTCCTCGCCTCACAGCATGAGCCCCGTTGAGGAGCCCAAATCGCGAGGCCCCACTGATGAAACGCAACGCATGAGACGACATTGCCAAGCCAACAGCGCGGCGCTGCACGACCACAAAGCAGACAGCAGGGCAGTGGCTATTATCCCATATCATTCCATGCCAGAACGCATGTTGCGCCGGGGACGAGATAGCATGGAAGCTGACCACCCGACCTGCAAGCAGGCATGCCAGTCAGGTGCGCACAACACATGAATCCCCCCCTGGCCCCTGTGAAGCGAGAAGCGTGCAGGCAACTGCCAAACGGCATCAGAACTGTTGTGACAGGCTCTCGAAAGAGTGACTAATGTTGTGGATTGGCAACGACCAGCCCAATGATTGGACAGGGCAGGTTGGAATTGGGGCAAGTTTCTGGATAGCCCATTTAATAAGGCCAGCCACGCGGGTTTTGGCAATAATTGGGGCACACCTCCAGCCCCAAAGAGGCAAAGAGCGCGGGCATTTGAGGCACAGTGTTGCGTACAGGCAGTTGCGCGATCCGAATTCTAGTAGGGTGCAGAGAGCCCAAACCATGGCTAGCAAGAAAGTGCACAAGAGGTGCTCAGCAGCCGCTCATGACAGGCAATCGCCGGACAAGCTGGTGTATAACGGACCATACCTCAAATGTACGGGGGGAGAGCCCGCCACGCAAAAGGCTGAGGCTACATTATGTAATGAGGCGGCGCAGCAGTAGGTTTGAACGGGCTGCAATTGGTGCTGCCCAAGCCACCACTGCATGCAGCTGTATTCAACGCAACGTGTGAAACCAATGTAGAAATGGCACGAGTGCGAGCCTTTGGCAACTGCAGAGCAGCCAGCCATTAATCACAAGATTTTGATATGGGTTTGTGCAGGATCTGGGGTGCGAGGCGGACTTGGTCCGGCTTTACTCATGCGTCCCCGCAATGCGCATGCCAGGGGGCTTGCACACGCAGCAAATGCGGCGCATGGGTATTCAAGATGCACAATCAGAGCAGGCGAGCCGTAAATCAACAACGGCATGATTGGAAGCGCGCAGCAAGGCTGTGCTCGCCTGTACGCGGACATTCGATGCAGACTTCGCAGGGTGCAATGGCGGCCACCACTGACGAGTTTCTGCGGCGGGAGAGCGCCTTGTGCGAGACCGCTGCTGGACTCACACTGTTGGAGAAGGGGAGCGGGAGGTGACCGTGCGTGTGTGCTGCATGCATCCCAGCCAGTGCGTCGCTAGAAGGCAAGGCACAGCAGGTGCGCAGCCAGGTTGCACGCCCGTGTTGAAGCGGAATTCACTAGGCGGCCAGTAGTTGCCCCCGACGTTCCTACGACGCCGACTCTACTGGCTGACCCGTCGGTCCAACCGACGCAGGTGAACGGAACGCCAGCACTGGTCGCGAGGGAGCCGTCGGGGTTGCTGCCAGACCACCAAACGCTCCCGGTCGGCAGCACCCCCGCGGCCTCCAAGGAGACGGCGAGGGAGCCGCCCGACAAGGCCGCGAAGTCGGCCGCCACGACCTGGCCGCTTGCGGACTCGATCGGCATGCCAATGGGGATGCCGTAGAGGGGAGGGAGGTTCGCGATGCTGTCGCCGGCGGCGACACCTAGGAAAGCGCGCGCCTGCACGAGGCCGGCAGGCCGGCCTATGGAGGTTGGGGCGACGCACTTGGCATCAGCGCCGGAGCGGCCACCCAGGGTGGCTGCAAGCGTAGTGGAGGAAGCGGAGTAGAGCACAATGCGGTTGCGTAGGAATTGCGCGGCGGGCACGCCGTTGAGCGTGGCCGCATCGATGCTGCTGAGGGCGCTTAATGTGACCAGGCCGGTCACGTTGATGGTGGGCAGGTTGGCAGCAAGGGTGGCGATGCTGGCGTTGACCGACGCGATGGCCGCTGAGCCTGTGGCGACCGCGGCCTTCGCGGACTCGGCCGTCGCGTTAACCGAGGAGATGTCCACCGCGCCCGCAGCTTGGGCTGACTGGACGGCCGCCACAGTGGCGTTGACGACCGCAAGCTCCAGGCCGCAGGTGCACTGCTGCGAGGCGGCTTTGAGCGCTGCGATGCCCTGGGCCGTGGTCTGATTCGCGGCCGCAAGCGACGCCAGCTGCTGTGCGGTTTGCGCCCTGGTAGCGCTGAGGGCAGCGATCTTCTGGGTGATGTCGCTGGTGTTGGCGGAACCAGCCAGCTGCTGCTGCTGCGCACCGGCAACCTGCGCCGCCAGCGCAGCCACTGCCGCCTTCAGCGCCGTCACTCCGGCACTCAGCGCGGCCGTCTGGTTTTGCCCCTGCGCCAGGGTGGCCTGCGAGGAGCTTGCCTGGGCGGCGGCGGCGGCGACCCGCGGCTCGAGTGCTGCCAGGCTGCTGGACAGCTTTTCGACCTGGGCGGCCGTGGCCACGCCGCACCCGTAGTGAAGCTTGGAGGGGTCCTGCAAGGGAAAACGACAAAGCACCAACAAGATTCATCAGGTGCGCGCATACCGTACAGCGGCTGCAAGTGAGGCAAGAAGGCAGGGGCGACGCAACTTTTGTGGTGTGCTTGACCTTACATGTGGGGGCTGGATGTCAGCCGCTGGTCAGCACAGCGCACGTAGGTACAACCCATCACATAGTTCAGCATGCGTGGTGCAAACGCCCGCCAAGTGTGGGCGCCTCGCCTTGCGCGCGGCGCGCGAAAGCACTGGCGTCCCTGCTGCTGGCGCGCACCTTGCTGTCAGCCATTGCCTTGGCGGGTGCCAGTAGCTCGCTGCATATCTGGTCCATGAGGGCCGTCGGGCCAGCCTTAGAGGAGCACGACTTGGTCAGGGCCTTGACGGGTGCGCACTGCGCAGATGGAAGCGCGCGTCAAGCAATCAGGGGCCGCTTGTGAATATCTTGTGCTCTTGTGCGCGTGCCGCATTCACTCGTCCCCGTTGGCCACTTTGACTGGTGCACATGCTCGCAATGACCGTCGCGCATCACATCGCATGGTGGGCTCCGCCGGGCTCGGCGAGGCCGAGGCACCATTAGTCATGACGTGCAATTTGGCGCGCGCAATCCTGTCAAACCCTCACCACCGCCAGTTTGGTCTTGTTCTTGGCTGAAGCTGCCTGCAAGCTGCGTGGGTTGTGCCAGAGGCGTGTGCGGCCGGGAGGACAGCAGGGGTGAGCAACGGTGAAGGTTGACAGGCAAGGGTTTATTTGATCGCCAGGATCCTGGCCTTGGTCGCTCGCTGGGGCGGCGCAGCCTGCTGCATGCAAGGGGCTGTCCTGAAATGCAGCGCAGCTACGGCCGCGACTCTCTTTCTGGTTCCCCTGGATCCGTGCACCCTAGGGTGCACACCTGCAGGCCTGCAGGCCTGCAGGTGTGCAGCATGAGGGCCCCCCCACCCCATGTGCGTGCCGCCTGCACCTGCTGGTGGCGCCCATCGCCTGGAACGGCACGTAAGTCAGCAATAGTCCTAGCGCAACCAGCACCACCGAGTTCCTCGTGCACGACATGGTACGTAGAAGATTGGTGGCGTGAACACTCGCGATCCGGCGGCGCGTGTACTTGACTAGTGTCGTCAAGAGAAATGATCGTATGATATAAATTCGTCGCAGTCGTACAGCGTAGCGGGGAGGGCAACAGCCCCAGCGAACCTGTTGGTGATGAGTAAAGGTTGGTGGTCTGGTTACTCCTTCGGCACGCTGAATTATGCACACGCGCAGCCAGCAGGACTTGAATAACTAGTGTTTGCTACGAAAGAATAGGTAGGATAGGGCTGCTGGCTGCCTTTCTTGGGTGGCTCACAGGAAGATTAGTTGTTGGGGGGCAATGCCAGACCTCTGGTTATTACCGCACCAACTGTGCAGACACTGGCCTAAGTTTAATATTAGGAACGCTATGTTGGACACATCTGCAATACCCCGGTCGGCCTGCCGCCTGCCGCGCAGGTTATTTATAATATCGAGGGGTAGCCTGCTTGCCTGATCAGCAGCCAGCCACACATTTCCAAGATAATAACAAGGGTCGACAGTAATTGCTACCTGCACTGAACAAAGGTACTTGTACGACAACGTGCACGCTGCGGGATGATGATGTGAGTAGAGTAGAG